ATATTTTATTTCTGCACACTTGACGAGGAGCCCCCACAATTTTGTGGTAAATTTACAATGACAATAAAAGACTATTCTATTCTATTCTATTGGCCAAGGTGTGAGTGGCTGGTAAACACTCCACTATTGGGCAAACATTGTTTTGTCTGTAATTAGTCTGCTAATCTACTGACAAAGACATTTGGCACCCAAAAAAGCCTAATGACTTTTTCACAAAAGACCAGTGATGGGAATAAAGGCGTTACAAGTAACGGCGTTACTTTTTTCAGTAACGAGTAATCTAACTAATTACTATTCCAATCGTTACAACGCCGTTACAGTTACTAAGAAGAAAACGCGGTCCGTTACTATTTTTCAACAAATAGACGGTTAAGGCTGTCTTCAGCTTACCGCATCTTATATCAGTTGCACGGAAGTAGCTGTAAGTAATCTGGACGCTACAGCTTTAAGCAGCTGCGCGCGCTCCCGCGGACGGTAATCACGATCGCTGTCTAGCACAACACCTGGAGCTAAGGGGGCAAAACAATCACATGAGTGCTGCTGTTTGACTGAGGAAGAATAAAGTAGTCGTGGTAAGCCGGTCACATGACCACTTAAAGACAAAGCAACAAGGTGATATATACCAGTTTTTAAATTGTGTTGATAGGCCACGTAAAACCAGAGTCATGATAAACAATATATACGTGGCGTTTTTTCCTGAATAGTTTTGTCACGTTTACTGTCTAAGGACAGCGTTAGCAAGCACTCTCTGCTTATGAGCAAAAACAAAAACAAAAAAACAAAAACAGAGGTTTTAGGAGTGACGGCGAGAGAGAGAGATTTGTGACATTTAGTGTGTTTGGAGTGTGTAGTTAATGTGTTGTCTTGTGTAGTTAGTGTGTAGTGTTGTGGATAGTTTTGTGTTGTGTGTCAGAACAATGAGGCGGCTGCTGTCTCCAGGTAGAAACAGGAGTGATACACCTGCTGCTGTCAGACCTGCAGGTATCAGGCTGTGATGTTCTCCTTTATAGTGGACAGAAATGTTTGGAGTGGCACAAATAATTTGTGGCATCTTATTGAAGGCAGAACAGCTGATTGTTATGTAAATAGTTTGAAATTGTTATTTAAACAGTCAAGGTAAATGGATGCAAATAACTTTGTTGTTTGCAAAACTTGTGTATAGAATTTTAAAATTGACAATTTATATTTGCATTTAAAGTTATGAAATATGATTCATTAAACATGTTTGTGGTTGTTACAGTAAAAAATATAACTTTTTCTACTCTGATTTTATGTATTTTTGTCTGATTTTAGATCAATTGTGTTAATACAGCATGTCAAAATGAAAACATAACTGTAAATTCAGACACGTGAGGCTGTGCTGAAAACAATGATACCAAACAAGGCAAAGTAAATAGTTTTTAAGGTGAAATGTAGAGGAAACATCAAAAGTAGTCAAAAATGGCCAATTATACCCTGGACCAACACTGCAAAAAGACAAATTGTTTATTTGGGTTTCTAGTTGGATTTTCACAGGTAAGTGTATTTAGACCTTAGACTTGATGATTTACTAAATAGAAGCATGTAACTAAGCAGAGGGGAAAAAACACTTTTTTCTTCTGACTGACATCGATGAATGAAAATGTCTTTTTCCTGGTTCTAGCATTTTATTATATTTCAGTATGTTTACTTTGGGAAAGCACTATCATTTGCTACACATGTGTAATTACTTATAACAGTTATACACAGCAACAAGGTCAAAGGGCACGTGACACTCACCCTCACAGGTGATTCCAGCTGCTTCCGCTTCCCGATCCAAAAATTGGTTGTTTGAGTTTTCTGTTAAACACTCAGATATCTTTGATATCTTCTTATTTCTCGGACACGTTATTGACAGGAAGCTACCAGAACCCTGACTGAATTTTTCAGTTTTGCCTTTTTCCCCACATTGCAGTTGTTTGCAGACAGCTGCTGATTGAGCGTCTGTCCATTCTTTTACAGGAACTTTCTTCCACTGGCCCTCATGCTTTATCTCCAATCTTCCAGCACATCTTCCAGGACCATCTGCCAGTTTCACCTCCACACTGCCTGTACCACGACAATAAGAGATTTATCAGCCACGAAACACAAAAAGAATAAATACATTAAATTAAACTCTTACTGAACACATTTTGGGAAAAATATAATCAGAATTTAACAATGTCACAATTTCACTGAATGAAGTAACTCATTTTCTCTCTCGACATAGAATTTATTGCAGGATTTAAAATCCCATTATAAAAGCAGACAAAGGCCATCAGCAGCCACTCTGTACATTTCCACTGCTGTATCTCACCTGAACACACCACATAAGGTTGTTTTGAACACTGGATGTTCTTGCCATGCTGAGCCTGACAGTGCCACAGTGAGGACTCGCTGCCTTTGCAGCTCACACGGTCCATTATCCCTCTTGAATTCTGATGTTCTTCAGTATAAATCAGCTAGAACAAAGCATTTATGAGTTTATGTTATTTCATTGATAATCATTCAGTATTAATGGTGCACGTTAGTACACTTATCACAATAAATCCAGTAGCACTGCTGTATGGACAGTTTCTGATACACTCAGTATCCATGTATCAGAACAACAGGTAACTTATGGTGAGTAAACTTGAACACTCACTTCCCCACATCCAAGCTCCTTGCAGACCAATTCACCTTCAGTTTTAGTCCAGGTGGAGGCACACACAGGATTAACTGAATCATTCACTTCAATATTAACTGTACCATAGCACTTGCTGTCTTCACCAGAGTGCTTCAGAACTACTTTAACTTTATCTGAGAGAGAGAGAGAGAGAGAGAGAGAGAGCAGTTTCACAGTGTGAAGTGTTTGCTTGGAAGTTGTTTGTGTTGGAATATAGACGTGTTGAATTACCTGTGCATGTCACATTAAGGTTTTTGTTTGTGCTGTTGTTTGGGCTGAGAGAGTTACCGCAGTGCATTTGCTGGCACACATCAAAATCAAAGTTGTCCTGTTGAACAGGTACCCAGTTGTTATTTTCTTCTTTCTCCAGCTGCCCAGAACACACATTTGATGGATTTCCTTTGAGCTGCAGTCTCGTATAACCTGTTCATAAAAACACTTTCTGAATTCACCACCATATTTAATATTTAACAGTTTTTATCACTGCTGTATCTCACCTGAACACACACACACACACACACACACACACACACACACACACACACACACACACACACACAGAGGGAGATTTCACTTTAAACATTTTAAAGATTTCAAAGATATTTTAAAGATTTTTAATTTAAAATAATGCTATTAATTAATAATATTACTACTATTCAAAGTTAAAGAAACTAAATTAACTTGCCTTGTGAGATCACCAGCTCAATGTGAGTGAGGCGGAGAAGGGGGAGCAGGAACCACATCATCACCACAGCTTATGACTTGAGAGTGAGGCAGACAAATATGTTCAACCTTATATTCCCGTGGCTTCACCCACAAAAAAGGAAATGAGCAGAATATGCGCCAAAGTTAGACTCACAAATGTTAACTTAGATTGAAAGAAAACACAAGTGCTCTAATTTCTTATACAGCACCTTTTTATGTTAAACTTAAACTCACTCTGATGCTGTAACACTGAGAAAATGTGTAAACATATCAACAGTAAATCACACTACTGATTTTATGAGAATGTGAAATTTAATTTACTGATAAACTGTAAATTCAACCTTTAATAGCTGATTCAATAGCTGTTTTTTTAAATTAATAATTTTAAAAGAAATGCTAACACACTGATTTAACTCCAGTTCAGCTGCTGATAGGATGCCTGACCCAGCACTGTTCCAAGCAGTCATTTCCTGCATTCATAATTCCGTTATTTGTGACAATTCTGCAACACTGATATTTTCTGTCACTGATATTTGCGCTGTGCTGCATTTTTTCCTATTTCTTGGGAACACAGTAAATCATTTTTAGGCCTGCATCATCATCATCAGAATCTCTTTGTTGCTGCAAAAATAAAATTTTTTTCCCCTGTGTCATTTTCCTACTTTATTTTACATGCAGATAAAGAAATGGGAACAGAACACATGTTTTTGCCACATGCTGCTAGTAACATCCTGTCTACAGGTACCAACCTTTCTGTTATATGTTGACCCGACAGTCGTTCATTCTTTGAGTTAGGTGCATTGGTTATGTTTGAATGATTTATACGTCAAGGTTAAGTGGTTTAATACAGCAAAGGAGCATTGTCAAGCTTACATATTATAACTCACTCTAAATAATTTTACATGTGTCTGTGGCCTCTCTTAATTCCTGTCACTAAGACACACTACTTAAAAGAAAATGTAATAAAAATCTGAATATAAATAAACTAATGGTAAAGTAATAAAATGTTGGACCTCAGTTGGTGACTTTTTCAATGCATGGTCCCTGAAAAAAAGTTGTTTTGTAATAGTTTTTGTGAAAATCTGATTATTACAGGAGAACATTCTGAGAATTTATTCTCACATCTAAGTATAAGATTCACACAGAGGCAACTTGACCACATTTATCAGGGACCTGATCAGAAATGAAGCATAAGTAACACCATCAACTCCAGACTAGCTTAAAAGAAATAAAGCCACGAACCTCTGGGTTGCATTTCTGAAACCAGATCGTTTATCTAGGCAGGAAACAGTGATCACATATGCTTCTGCTTCAGATATATTCTCAGCTCCCAACTGTGTTTAAAGGTGTATATTTAAAAAAAAAATAGATGTATGCTTTCATGTGTTTTAAATATTTACTTAAACATTAAATTCATGAATTTTACTGTATCAAACTGAATACAAAATTAAAGGGCATGCTACCCACCAAACAAGACTCTCGGGGTGCACAAACAAACCCTACTGCAGGTCAATGCACGCTATGGAAACACACACTGTTCCACAAGACTGTGCGACTTTTTCAAGAACCCAGAAGAAGACAAATGCAATGGGTTATGCATCCGGGCATGTGACACACACCAGCGAGTCAACTTATGGGTGGCTCAAAAAATGTTATTAAAATATTATTATTCAGTAATGTGTCAGATTTCATAGCAATTCTATATGTAATTAACACATGAGCATGCCCTGCAGCCAGGATAGCAGACAATGATTTTTCTTTTTTGTTTGATTTTGCTAAATAATGATGGCAGCAAAACTTTGTGCAAAATCGTGTCAGCATTACAGACACCAGAACTCTTCAACCACATCCAGAAAAGACAGCCAAGATCTTAACTAGATGCAAAAACATGACAA